TAAAGTGCATTCAATGTAAAAATGATATTTTCCTAATATAATATATTCTAATAAATTAAATCTTTCACTCGAAAAAAAAAAGATTATTTCAAGTTCTTCCCAGAATACCAGAATGCAGGCAATAGTAAGTTTCAAATGTATTGGCTTTGGCGCGCGTGGACCAATTAGCTGTTCATACACTCTTGCCGCTGCGTCACCGGTGATCGTCGCCATATTCGGGTTGGAATGGAATTTATATTTTTTATATGACAATATCTCCAGTACTATGTGGTCAAAGATCGTCATTTATCTTCACAATAATCCCACAATACTACTTTACACTCCATTGTTTTTATTGAACACTAAACCTACTAGAGCTGTCAAATGATCGCTTTTGAGACTTTAATCAAAATTGTTAAATTCCAGGTTTTTATTTTTCTTGAACTTACTGCACGACTATGCTAAATTCTGTATTAATTACAATCAACTGGAAAAGAGTATAATGTTTATTTCAAAAGCGGTCATTTGACAGCCATCGGTAGAAATAGGTATATATCATATGTCGGTAGGTTTAGTGTTAAAAATGGTAAGATCCGTTTAGCAGTTATAATGCAAAATGTGTTAGAAATAGTATCCTTGCGCATGTTAGGTACCCCAAAAAACACTTACGTATAAAAAACTACGCCAAGTACAGGAGTGCTGTGTATTCCTCTAATAAAAATTATTGATATCAGATTATGGAGGCTAAGTATATAGTCCCTACATGTTTTCCTATTATATGATCTAGCACTGGCCCATCATTTTAATTGTATTTTAAAAATTTCTTATAACGTTTTCACTACTCTTTTACATTACTACTGCTTCCCGTAGTTGATTATGGTTTAATGGTCATTTAATAATTAATAAAACTTTAGGTGATTCCTTATCGAGTACTACTTGGCAGGTCCGTGCCAGGAATTCTATCAGGAATAGTATCTTAAAACTATATGTTTGTTTTATTGGTTTGTTTTATATGTTTGAGTTATTGTTAAAAAGCCCTATATAGAAAGTTGACATTGGTTTTGAGTTTGTTGACTGGCATAATGAACGCGAATTTATGTCAAGAAATGCACGAACCCGCCAAGTAGTACTCGATAAAGAATCACCTAAAGTTTTATTAATTATTAAATGACCATTAAATCATAATCAACTACGGGAAGCAGTAGTAATGTAAAAGAGTAGTGAAAACGTTATAAGAAATTTTTAAAATACAATTAAAATGATGGGCCAGTGCTAGATCATATAATAGGCAAACATGTAGTGATTTATGTACTTGGCCTCCATAATCTAATATCAATATTTTTTATTAGAGGAATACACAGCACTCCTGTAGTTGGCGTCGTTTTTTAAACGTAAGTGTTTTTTGGGGATATCACAAGTTTTTGTTACTCAACGGGATACAGAAGCTCTAAGCACTGAAATCTATATTTTTACAGATATAAAATGTAAAATGTGCCCTGTGATGCCGCTAGTCAAAAAAGTATATTTCGTTGTCGAAAATATTTAATGGCATATAAATTTAATTTGTAAGTCCCTTTTTCTAGAAATGCATAAAGATATCTACAAATTTTTAAAGGAAATGTAATCTTCAGTGCATATAAGCGTCGTTAATGGTGTCCAGCTTGTTGAAGCCGTGTTGTAAACGTACGAGAGGAAAGTGTGCTGGATTACTTACGTACCTCAGGCCGTGCGAACAACAAAGAGGATACTATTGTTTGAGCGAAGCACCAAAGCATCGCTCGTTGCACACTTTTCTGGACACTCTAGATTTCTACGTCCGACACCTCGATACAAGAAACTACAGAGCGCAACACTTGGCCACCCTGGACTTCCACGTTTGACACCTAGATGCAGGAAACTACGGAGCGGAACACCTGGACACCCTGGACTTCCAAATCCAGTACCTATATACAAGAAACTACGGAGCGGAACACCTGGACAGCCTGGACTTCCACGTCTGACACCTAGATGCAGAAAATTACGAAGCGAAATACCTGGACACCCTGGACTTCCACATCCAACACCTAGACACAGAAAACTACTGAGCGGAACACCTGGACAAACTGTCACCTAAAATACGAGGAACTATGCTGAAGCACACATATACATACACCCATATACGCGTGCTCCACATGAATGCTATTAAAAACTTAATAATTCTATACTGTTGTGAAAGCACCCTTATACTAACTGGAAATTCGGTATGGACGGTAGCTTCACGTATAAAGTGGATTTGATTGTGTTGTGTATTCGTAAATTACCAACACCATCCAGAGTACAAATAGGTAAAGAAGGTAAAGCAGTCAGCGCCATCTGTTGTGTAAAAAATGCGATGGACGTGCGAAGACGACGACGACGACGACGACGGAACTGAAATAAAATCATCTCGCTCGCCGTCGCAATACGCCCTGATCTCGTACACAAATCGTATTGAACGTGATGGCAATTAATTCAGAATTCCTCAATTCCTATAGTGAATGTATCAATAACTTTTTCTCATGTAAAGTGGTTAATAAGATATTTCGTTCCAAACACAGGTATAAGAGTTGACTCAAGTAAAGAGTCTCTGCGATCTGTGCCCTGTACAGCCAGTTGCCTGTACTTTGCGCGAGACTCGACCGAGTCTCTTGATACGAAGTGTGTATAAAAAGTGCTATTTTTAAAGGCAATTATCTAATAAACTAAATGGTGAGTCGACTTTACAATTTGGAAATCGTTTCATAATAATTGTGTCTACAAAATATTAAAATTTTAGAAGATTTCTAAGAAGAGTGAAAAGCGATAAAACTACCTTAAGACGAATTCAGCAACCTACAACACAAGGTCATTCTAGTCACGCAAAGTATAAAAATAGTCATAAAATCAAAACATATCCGAATAATCACTTTCAAAGGATCCACTAATCTTGGTTTGGGTCTACCTACAGAAGATGCTCGAAGTGATGATCCTCGACTTGTAAACACTTGTTTGATCGCTGTTTTCATTTCTTACGATACCAATGTTTCTTATCAGCAGCAAGTACGCATTTTCTGATGACATATCAGTTAGTCACGCATTACCTTCCTAATGTGAGTACATCGGATCGCGAAAATGGACTATTTTCAAGAATCTTTTGATATGTTGATGGTGCTGGGGGAATGCCGTAAACATTACAGGAACGCCCAAGATTGGCATGCGGCTCGTTTTCCGGATAGGCAACAAAAATCGTACATGGCTTTTAAGCGATTAGCTGACCGTTTCTGTCGCTTCAGTACAGTGAAACAAACACGAGTCAAATGTCGACCGATTGTTAATGAAAATAATGCGGCTGCTATCTTAGCTTTTGCTGCACTAAATCCACATGCGAGCAGCAGGCAAATGGAAGGAGAGAGTGGAATTAGTCAGCGATCTGTATTAAGAATCTTACATCAACACAAGTTCCATCCGTATCGTATGTCATTACATCGGGATTTGTACGGCAATGATTTCCTAAATCGCGTCAATTTCTGTAATTGGATTCGTAGAAAAATGCGCACAGATGTCTCATTTTTGAGTCATGTGCTTTTTTTCTGATGAATCTAACTTCATAAATACGGGAAATGTGAATAGGCATAACATGCATTATTGGGCAATTGAAAATCCTCGATGGATGAGAACTGTACCATTTTAACATCCGTGGTCCGTTAATTGTTGGTGCGGCATTGTCGGCCGATCACGTCATTGGTCCATATTTTTTTGAAGGTTGCTTGACTGGGCAAGTTTACGCAAAATTTCTGCAAAACGTACTGCCTCAAATACTGGAAGACGTGCCCTTGCATGTTCGCATGAACATGTGGATGCAACACGGCGGTGCACCACCCCATTATGCTCTGTGTTCAAGACAAGTGACGAATGAGGTTTTTGGCGAAAAGTGGATAGGACGGCGGCCCTGTAGCTTGGCCACCTCGTTCACCAGATCTAACATCAACAGATTACTTTTTATGGGGTTTTGTCAAAGAACGCGTAATGGCGGTAGTACCTAACACGCCTGACGACATGAAAGAAAGAATACGCCGAGCATGTATCGAAATTACACCACAAATGTTGGCTGAAGTTAGACGGTCTTTTCATCACCGAATTAGCAAGTGCTTAGAAGTCAAGGGTCATCACTTCGAGCATCCTCTGTAGGTAGACCCAAAGCAAGATTAGTGGATCCTTTGAAATTGATTATTCCGATGTTTCGATTTTTCGACTATTTTCATACTTTGCGTGACTAGAATCACCTTGTGTTGTAGGCCGCTGAATTCGTCTTAAAATCGGTAATAATGTCATCGGAAAAAAATACATGGTTCCATTTAAGAAAGTGGAGTTGACCTTGACGTAGCTTCAGCGCCTCCACCGATAAAAAAATAGGGTGGTCCAGTATGACAGCCTTCTCGAACACTGAAACTTTTGTGTGAAACATTTTTGGATATGATCAATAGTTTGAGTGCTATTGCTCTGTAACACTTCATGTGCCTCACCCTGTATATAACATGGATTATACATAATATGGCCTTTTTGCCTTACGAACTATAAAAAAAAAATACAAAACTTGATATAATATATGTATAGTATAGCTTAACATCGTCTATAAATTACTTTTTTCTATACATTTTCCCTATGGCAGCCTATATGTTGTGCTTCTGTCCATCTGATACATATGGGACAAGCGAAAATTGGAAAAAGGGGCCAATATTTGCCGTTTACTGTACAGGACAGGGCACTAATTCAGCGGTGACAGTTACCTTGCATATATATCTATCGCTATCACTTACGAATTATGTTCAGCCCGAAATATAAAATGATCATTACAATGTTAGTATACCACAATAAATTTGTTGCGACATAACTAGAAACAACTCAGGCACTAAATGATTATGTTGTGTCTGAACGTCTTGGCGACGAAGGAAGGTCGGGTCGAGATGTTAAGTCAAAGAGATTTTTGGGATCGCTGCCGGTTAAGGAGTTAGAACTTGCCTAAATATAATAAAAAAGTGAAAATTTATTGAAACTAAACAAGAAAAAATATACAGTTGATCGACGTTTTGTATGTATTATATTGACATTCTTTTAGGGTGAAAGACAATTTAATATCGCATTTTTGTCAAATTTAAAATGTGTCCAAACTTCAGATAATTCAAAAAATTGTGTTTGAATAAGGGTTTGCTCTCTACTATTAAATGGCGAAGACACATACTCCATAGTAATCGAAGGTGGTGTAATCACTGATGGCAAATTCTGAGCTGGATTGCCAAATAACAATGACTTAATGTTTCCTTCTGGTATTTGCTTGTTATGAAATTCTTGAGAAATAATAGCATGGCCTATACAAAATTTAACTTAATTAGAGAATGAAATTATTAACAATTAAAATAGTATAAATTTGATTACAATGCTAATTAAAATAGAAAAATAGTAACTTACTATTTCGCTCGGGTAGTTGTGGATTGAAATTGGTGTGGTAAAATTCATTACATTTAACAGCATGAATAGCAGGATCTAACGGGAAGGGACGGTGTTCACTCTGAGGACTACTGATTAATTGTTTAGCAAGAATTACGGGTGATTGATCGTCACCTGATTCTCCAAAAAGGTTGCGCTTGAATGCGTTTTTGGATGGAGTATTCCTCTCATCCTGTGTAGTTTTGCGATTATACATTGGTGAAATAGTTGATGGTCGAGAATTTTTAATATCTGAAATAACATTCTAAAATTCGAAGATACTGAAATCTTAATATGCAAACAAACGTATGTATGGTAAATAAGTAACTGTTAAATTTGTTATATGTTACATACATATAATTATGCTCCCATGAATAATATTACTGTACCTGCACTGATTGAGAAATTAACTGTTGCTGCTTTTTATTCTTACTTATGGATTCCATATCACCCAAAGACTTATGTCGGTGTCTCTTGTTTGTCCCTATATTTCGTTCCCGATTTTGTCTTTCTTGGACCCAACGCTTCATTCTTCTATAATGTATTGGAATAATATATATATAATTAGCGTAGTATATCATTGAAAATAACAATTTTGTTGGAAATATGTACTAACATTTTTGTATTTCCTGCAAAGGCTACGATAAATAGGCTACTTATTCGATAAATGAAAATATTGTAACCAGTTGGATAATACTATTTCATACGCTCCTTATGAGTGTACGAAATGGGATATAGGTAAAGAAACTGGCGACTTTAAGAATTTAGGCGATCACAAAATTGTATGATTAGGGTTTAAATTCTCCATTTAAATAATAAGTTTAAATATTGAGTGGTTTTCCATTTATTATCTTCTCGACTTTAAATATTGCCTTTTTTCCATTCAACATTTATTTCGAATTCAAGTAATAATTAAAGAATGATTTTTTCTCACTGTTCATTGATTTTAAGGTCAACTGGTGGTTTTTCATCCTTTATCTTTGCAACTCCAAATAATGCTGTTTTTCCCAGTCCTCATTGATTTCAAGTTCCAATGACGAATGACTTTCGATTCATTATCTTTTCGAATTTAAATAATACATTTATTCTACTCATAATTTAGAGAGGAAGTAACGAATGAAGGATGTATGTGCTGCAACGTAGTTTCCTAACTAGAAACCAATAACGAAGAGCTGAGATCTAATCTACATCACCTTCGGCCGTCCATCCTTCGTCCATGTATCCGCATGCCAGGCGGGCGCCAGTCAGTTCTTTTTTCACCGGAAACTGACTAGCGGATATGAACTGGGTGTTGAGATGAAATAGTCTCAACTCCGCTAAAACGAGAGCTCTGAAGGAACCGATAAGAAAAGACGATAGCATACTGTCGAAGTGTGAGGACGCAATCGAGAAACACAACCGTCGGTGCTTATCTTTGGGGTCACGTAAAATCAACAAACGTAATTAGATACACGAACGGGTGCGAACGGTTACGAAAATGGACGGTCGCTCAGGCTGCTAAGATGAGATAGAAAGGGTCGGAGTAAACCTCAAGTAAATAGTGCCGGAAAAAAAGAACATCGAGTCGGAGAAAAATCGAAATCCCTCCTTTGTATTAAAATATTTATCAACAATATGGCGCTGCGACATTGTGATCTACATCAAAGGCTTCGCCAAAGAGTCATGGACCTACAGTTTAAATTTAAGACGATACGGTCTAGTATTTGCCGAGAAAACGAAGTTTTGGTTTCAAAAAACATTGAATTTAACGCGTTTTTTCAGGTGAAAAAAGTGAGTTTTTATTTTTTATCTTGAAAACCAATTTTTGTACGAAAAAATGGTTCGAACATAAAAGATGCGTCTGGACGAGCCGTATTTTTTGTTTACCACATTTCGTACTTTGTATTTTCCAACAATTTTGACAACACTTTTACCGAATTTCGAGCGCCTATCGCCTTTTTCAATAAAACTCCTCAAATCTTATTCTTTCCCTCGAGTCATCCCTTTAAATCAATTTGAGGGCATTTCTTAAAGAATCGGTACGTAAAAACTGAAAATCCTAGACGACCGCTTCCCCAGGGAATTGGGCGACAAGTGGGCAACCTTAACTCGGATCAGAGGGTTCCTCGGTTGCGTTTAACCGTAAAAAACTATACCTCTACCCGCTCCACAGCACTTTGACACGGTCGGTCGGTACCCGTCGGGTACTGTCTTCTGCTGAGCGACTCGATACGTCGAGACTATCTTTCTATGGCAAATGCGAGCACCTTGACCTCAATTAAATAATAACAAACCTTTCCGAGAGCATTGGCGTAACCGTACGAGTAAACCCAAGAGCGTAGCTTCTGAGCAGGATGGCGAGTCGAAGGGAACCAGAAAGCGAGAATATTGTCTGAATCGGTAGCTGGAGTCCCCTTGTGACCGTGAATCTAAAAATCACGTGACAGTGCGCCTGTATAGGAGTGTTTGTGTGTGTGTTAAAAGTTTTGTTAAAATGCTAGCTGTCATCATTTTCCGTCCATCATTTAGCGTCCAGGATAACTAGTTCTTCACGAATAAACTAATAACCATAGAATAATATCGATTAAATTTATTAGGCATACAACTAAGTTCTCGACCTTTTTTGCATATTTTAATGTTAATTTGCAAAAGAACGAATAAGTAGCTAATGTTGAAAATAATCCCCCTCACTCTTTACACATTTCTGCCATCTGATAGGCAATTAACGAATTCCACTTCGGAAAAAAGATGGTTGTTCTGAGTCGATGAAATCGTCGGGGCTTTGATGAACTTCTTCAGGTGCTCTGTGGTGTGTGTTAACCAAGTGATGTTGAAGGGACAGGAAAAGGTGGTAGTTAGAAGGGGCGAGGTCTAGAGAATATGCCGCGTGAGGGAGAATTTCCCAGCCCAAGTTAGCGATGACTTGCAGGGTTATTTTCGCTGTGTTGTGCTGGGAGTCTCCTGACCCCATTGACAAACGCCAGGCCAAGTAGTTCACGCGTGTAGCAATGCGCTAAGTCAGTACTAAAGGCGGCCTGGCAACTAATATGTGGAAATCTAAAAATCGCACAATAATCACTTTTCGGAAGTCCAGCTTATAGCTGCACATCCGAAAATCTACAGTCTACAATTAAAATCCGAACGGATAAGGTGGTCTCGTGGAGTAGACTCGGTACAGAAAATAGGAGGACCGAACGGTGCCTATATTTTCGAAGTCGACGTACGTCGACCAACTGTACAACACTTGATTGTTTCAATAAACCTTCTCTGTTTTGTTGTATTCACGCGAGTTCCAACTCCTTAACCGGCAACGATCCCAAAAATTACCTTAGCCCTAACCTCTCGAACGAACTCCTTCGTCACCGAGACGTTACGGCACAACAA